GCCTCCCTCCCACGGCCTCCCCTGCTGGGAGCCGGCTGAAGGGGCCTCACACTCATCTTCCTCCTCAGAAAGGAAGGCTGCAGCCGGGCGTGGCTTGCGGGTCGCACCAGGGCGTGTCTCGCTGACCTGGGTGTGGAAGACTTGACGCAAAGGGGCCTGGGGAAGCAAAGCGTTAAGCAACCACTAACTCTGGAGGAAAACCACAAAGTCATGCAAAGAGAAGATGCTGGCTGCTGCCCCGGCTCAGCAGGACCCCGGCCTGGTCAGGATTTCGGGCGCTCCCCGCCTCCCTGACCACGTCTGGTGCTATTTCTGGTTCGGTCGGTGGTTCTCAGGCCCGCTGAGGACATCTTTGGGAGGTGGACCCTGAGAGTCTGGGCTGCCTTCCACGCCTGGGGACGTGACTTGGTCTCCGAGGGCCTGAGCCGGCGAGGGCCCAGAGGCTGAGGCAGGCCCCTGGTTGGCGGGCCCGCTGGACTGGGCCCTCCGCCGGCACGCTGCGGTGCCCAGAGCGGGACCCAGGCCCCAGCGAAAGGGCGGAGAAGGCAGCACAGCGCCCACGGCCAAGACCCGGCGGGACCCCGGACGCTGCGAGCGTCGGGACCCCGCGTTCTGCTCCTGCCGCCTGCGCTCTGGGGCCGGCGCCTTGGTCCCCCTCCCACCGCGAGGGCCCGGAGCCCCTGGGCTCCGGCCAAGGGGCCAAGGCGCGCTCCGGGCTGCTGGGGTGCTCGGGGTCCCGCCCCTCCCACCCCCAGGGGAGGCGGGTTTGGGCCGGACACCAGGAGGCCCTTTCCTGGCTCCGCCTGGACCTGGACAGCTTCACGTTCGCCCCCAGCTGAGGGCAGGACCTGGCCGCTTGCCCCCCGCCCCCGCGGCAGGTCCCCCCCAGTCCCGCCCTCGGCACTGTGAGGGCTGCAGCTCCCAGGCTGCAGGCTCCGCTCCTGGCATCATGCAGCTGCATCGCAGCCAAGGGGCGGCCGGGGGTCTGCCTGACCCCTCACCCCACCAAGGCCTGCCAGGCACAGCGGGCGGCGCCCCCACCCCCGGCCGCCTGGTGCGGTTCGCACGCTCCTGCCTGTGCCCACAGAGCTGCGCCGCAGGCGCCGGGCGCCGCCCGGCCCCCTAGATCCGGACCTCAGGGGCTGGCGCCCAGCGGCTCCCAGGCTGGCCGCGCCGGCCCCACCCACAGGTCTTGCAGGCTGGACCCCGGGGCCGGGCGGCACCGGTGAGTGGCCACCTGCGTTCTCGGGAGGCCTCTCCTGGCCCTGCCCTTCGGTCTCAAGGTCCCTTCCCTCCTCCGTAGAGGGGACGGGAGCACCGGAGTGGCTGCCAGCTGGGTGGCCTCCCCTCGCCCGCCCCTCGCCCACAGCCCCTCCCAGGGAGCCCGAGGCGGGGCCTGCCGCCCCCTCCCGGCTCCGCCAGCCTTGTTTGCAGGAGGGAGCAGCACCCGCAGGCCGCCCGGCCGCTCTCACCGGCGCTGGAGTGGGAAAGCCTTGCCCGGCACTGGGTGCCGCCCGCCCGCCCGCCGGGGAGCTCCCGTCTGCTGGCAGGGCGGAGGGTCAGCCCCTGGGGCGCAGAGGGGCGGTCCAGAGGCTGTGGGCAGAGCTGGAAGCTCAGGGGTCGGGGCCCAGGGCGTGGGGACGGCCCAGCCAGACCGTGCACCGGGGGGAGACGGGGACCCTGGGCTGGCCGGCCGGAGGCTGCCAACCCTGGCGGGGCTGAGGGTGCAGGGCTGCTGGTCACTGGCCCGCAGCCGGCCACGGCCACCCCTGGCGGAGGGGCACACGGCCTGGGCCCTCCCCACAGGGCAGCCGCTCAGGTGCAGTCAGAGAGGCCCCCGGGGGGGCAGAGGCTGTCGTGGGGGTCGGGGCAGGCCCCGCCCCGCCGCAGCTGTCGGGACTGACTGGGGCTGGGTAGCTCCAGGCCTCCCGCCCCGGCCACTTCCCCTGGTTTCCAAATGTGGAAAGTCTGCGGCCAGGTTATCTGCACCTGAACTTCCCTGTTCGGCAGTCCGGGCCCGGGGTGGGGGCCCGGGTGGGGGCCCGGGGTGGGGGCCCGGGTGGGGGCCCGGGTGGGGGCCCAGCGTGCCTCAGGCCCGGGTGACCTCACCTCGGCGGAGCAGGAGCCAGGCCAGGCCTGCTGCGGCCCGGGGCCCTGGCCTGCCTCAGGGGCACCCAGCGCTCCCGCGTGCAGCTCGGGCCCTCACCCTGCCCCACCAAGTGCCTGGGGTGCGGGGCCCACTGCACCCCTGAGCTTGGCACCTGCAGGCTCGCTCTTGGGTGCTGGAGCTCTGGGTAGGGCACTAACGGGTCCGCCACAGGCTGCTGGACGCCACAGCGGGCAGCGGGCACTGGCACTTCTCTCCCCGCACCCCTCTCTGCCTTCCCTCTGGGCCGGAACCCCCATATCCTTTTGCCAGCGCCAGGCCCTTTCCCAGCGGCAGGGGCGGGGTCCTGGGCCCTGGGGGCCTGCGCGAGAGGGGCCAGGCGCCCACGGGGTTCCCGCCTGTCCGCCCCCAGGCCCGGCCCGCCCCACAGGCTGAGCAGACTGACATGGGACAGGCCGCAGGGCGCCGCCGGGGACCCCCACCCCGGCCCAGGGGAGCGGGGCGCAGGAGCCTGGGGCCAGGGCAGCAGCTCTGGGACCCTGAACCCCGCTGCGCTCGCGGATGTCCCGGCTCGTCCTCGGGCTCTGCGCCCCGGAGCC